TTCAACAACAACTGCACTTACATAGCGCCCCTCACCAGGGCAGCACCCCAGAGCTGCTATAACAACAACAAATTGCATTTATATAGCGCCTTCCACGATAAATCGATGTCCCAGTGAAGTGTCTGCACCTGAGCTGGGGGCTGGAGTCAAGAGGGGTGGAGGGCAAGGAGGTGGGAAGATGGAAGATGACCGAAGGCACGGTCAAAGAGGAAGATCTTGATAATAATAATCCTTATATTTGATATAGTGCCAAGATGTCTCAAAGTGCACTGCTAAGATGTCTCAAAGTGCTTCACAGAATATACTGTAAAGTGGATTGACTGTATATTTTCAGCCAATTGCACACAGGCAATTTCAGCCAATTGCCCATGCACAATTGACTGAAACTCGGCAGCCAATTGCGTACGGGCCTTGAAGGAGGCAAGGGAGGGCGAGTGGCAAAGGGGTTCCGGGATAGTTCTAGAGGGTGGGAGCAGAAAGACTAAAGCCCCGAGCTCCGATGGTGGGGCGGGCAGGGCGGGGAACATAAAGCAGACCAGTGCCTGCCAAGCGGAGGGGGCGGACAGGTTGGTAAAGTTTTACTAGATCTCAGGAGTAGGGAGGAGCAAGACCATGGAGGGCTTTAAAAGGTGAGGATGAGGATCTTGAACTCAATCCTCTGGGGGATAGGGAGCCGGTGAAACCGGGCGAGGATGGGGGTGATCAGCTGGAGTTTAGTGTGGGAGAGGACACCAGTTGCAGAGTTCTGAATAATCTGCAGATGAAGGAGTGAAGAGTTAGGAAGTCCAGAGAACAGGGAGTTCCCAACCAAACAGCTGGAAACTGCCAATCGTTTTAAATACAGCCCTTAAAGTAAACCACTGAGTGCTTACTTCATTACCCTTCAACCATGCTCGATACTGCATCACAGGAAAAGAGGAACAGGAGGAGGCCATTCAGCCCATCAAGCCTGTTCTACTAGATATCACAACATTGTGCGTTGTGAACCAACTAATTTTTGAATGAATCAAGTACTCTGCGTGAAGGGCACAATGTGAATGCAAATTGTTGTTGGATCAACTAATGGACTTTTCTCCTTTTTTCATTACAAAACCAAATATTACAAATAAAAATAAAAATTCCATCGACAATGTCAGGTAACTGGGAGAGATTATAGCATTAATATTGAACAGCAGCAAATGACTCCTACTTGCACACTGAGCTTGTAAGTTTACTTTAGCGCTTTCGACCTTAGTTACCCCTCCTGCCCAACAGACCTGGGCAGTAATTCTTTTATTTATCAATAAATTTATCAATCTTTGGGGGAGTCAACACCTCAATGCCAAACCTCAGTAAAATGATTGCCTGTTTTGTGTGAAAATAATCTCCTGTCACCTTGAAGAATTCCAATGGAGAAGGATTGTGTGCAAATGCGTTTGTTAACACCCAACTTATCTTTGCTCAGCCGACTCAGGCTTTCAGCAGGTCCCTCCAGGATCAGCCAAAAAAAACAAAAAAAAACTGGAAGCTCCAAATATGCAACAAACTCTAAAAGTAGAATTCTTTTCTCAAGTTATTTCAAAGTGACAACCCAATGGTTTCTGCTAAAATAGAGCAGAGGTTAGGGAATGTATTTTCAGCACTAGGGTGGAGCGGGATTTCAAAGTTGTTGCATGACATTATATGTGCAAGATAGCCATGTGATGTTCTTTATTCTATTTTGAACTGCCTCTGAAATTTTATTTGAATATTCACTAAGAAAACAAAGCAGTGCAAAGGCTAGAATCAAAGGTCAATACTTTATACACTTTTCAAGCTAGTATCCCTTCCATTTTGTTACAATAATAATAATCTTAACATTTGATATATCCTCCACATCAGGCGGACATCTCAGAGTGCTTCATAGGATTTACTGTAAAGTGCAATGACTGCATATTTTATAGGCACATGCAACCGCCAATTGGCAACCATGTCCCACAAACAGACAAGAAGTGAAAGAGCAATTTTATTTTGGGCAATTTCACCAGGATACATGGAGGAAGCTGACTTCTCTTTAAGAAGGCATTTAACATCCACCTGAACAGGCACACGAGAGAACATCCACCAACAAAAAAATGTACATTTATACTTAAACCCACTTTCAGATTGGGAGGGTACACCAAGGTGCTGGACAGTCCAGGGTTTTCACTTGAGCTGGGTGGGGGGTTGGGAAAGATGACTGAAGGTTCAGTCAAGCAGGAGGGTCTTGAAGTGGACCTTTAAGGAGGTAAGGGAAGCGGTGAGTGGTAAAGACTCCTGAATGAAGTTCCAGAAAGTGGGGTAGATAGACTGAAATCCCGATTGCTGATGGTGGGGCGACTAGGGTGGGGGCCGTGAAGTTGGTGCACACTGAACCAAGGGAGCGGGCAGGTTTGTTGGGTTTGTAAAGGTTGCAGAGATAGGATGGGGTAAAACCATGGGATTTTGACTTTATGTCTCGTCTGAAGGACTGCATCTAACTGGAATGACAGCCTAGACTAAACAACTTCAAAGTCGTGATATGGAGCTTGAACCCACAACCTTCAGCCTCAGAGGCAAGAATGCTACCAATTGAGCCAGGCTGGCACATATACAGAATGCAAAGACAGGTAGGTAGCTGCTAAACATGGGCATGGGACACAAAGATAAGAGATTTTTATACAGTTATTCATGGAGGGAGAGCACCTCAAAGATATTTGGTATGGATTTGGTGGGGTGGGGCAGGCAGGGAGTATGAAGCAAAGTAGTTGGCCGGGGCGAGTAGAGTTGCAGGAGATCACAAAAATACAGCGGGGCAAGGCTGTAGAGAAAAATTTGTCTGCAAGGTTCAGGATCTCACACCAAGCGTTTATCATTTATCTGCAATGAATGCACTGATGTGCCATGACCATTGTCAGAATTGTTTTGGAAGGTTACTCCCTGTTGACTCACGCCCTATTTATAATGAGAAATCTGGTTGATCCTGAAAACCCCCATGTATTGATTTACTTTTTCTCCTCGACTTTCTTTTAAAATCTTTTTTTATTTAAAGAGTTTCCCGATTTTAAGCAAGACAAAAAAGGCATTTTTATCTGAAAAAGGAAAATTTAGAAAAGAGGCAGATTTGGCCAAAGGGGGACTGCTTCAGACAGCCCCAACAGAAAGTGAAGATACAAGCTTACTTTTCAATTCTGCAACTCCCACTTGATCAGCGCCTCAAGGCAAAACAGGTTTCCAGTGTTTCTTGCATTCCCCAGTGCGTCTGTTTCTCTCCTGAGTTGCTGCTTGTAGTTTCTGTCTCCTGTATTGCCCGATGTTATTTTATTTTTAACACTCTTAAGATTCAAACTAATTATAGTATTGCTTGAAGGATCACTATACGTGAAAATCTGCACTGCTTCAGTTGTGAATGTCTACAGCGCAGCTCTAAAGACTGACACATGCAACAGGCTTTTCTTTTTACAGCACATGGTGTGTTGGTGATTGCTTAACTTACTGTATCAAATTGCAAAACGTTCTTTCAAGTCAAACAGCATGTACCGACTTGTGGTGTTTGTGTCTTTGCAACTGTACATTTGTGAAATGCTGCAAATTGTCATCAGAGCGCAGTATTAATTCACTGAATTAAACATTAAAGAATATAGCAAACGAGTACAAGAGGCCATTCAGCCGATTAAGCCCATTCCACTAGTTTATTATACTTGGCAGATCTTTTACCACCTGCCTGTCTTTTTATCCCTTAATATTTCTGTTACACAAGTGTATATCAATCTCTCCATTATCCCAAATAATTTCACCTCTACAGTATTCTGAGTCAAAACAATCCAAAACAATGTATCCCTTTACCAAAGAGAAGTCATCCACTACCTAACCTGTTAATTCTTTCATGATCCTAAATCTCTCAATCAAATCACTCCATAACCTCCCCTGCTCCAAGGAATATACCCCCAGTCTACCCAGCTTCTCCTCATAGCTAAGCCCCTTGAGTCTAGGCATATATCTAGTAAACTCTGCGGAGGAGCGAGCAGTTACTAACATGACTGTACTTCAATACTTGAAAATACTGAATCTTTAAACTATCCAATACTGTACATACAGGGTGACCAAAAAGTCATGATATCTACCCTATTATCTAAAAAAAATCATAATTTCTTTAAGACTTATTTGACATTGTAATGCCTTTTGGTCACCCTGTAGTTGCCCACATCAGCTATATGTAGAATTGGAGTGGAATGAATGGAGAGCCAACAGAATAACAGTTGTCCTGGCATGGTGTTCACAGAAGTGGGGAAATATCAGGATGATCGATAGGGATGGGGAATAATAAAGAAAATCTTAACCTTGAAATGAAAGAATAAAAACTATGGCATTTTGTATTATCAATATCTATTATAAGAGGAAACAGTGATTGTTGCATCTACTAACATCTATAAAGGTGGTTCAGACTGTGCCTAGCACCCCTGGCATACTTGTAGACTTAGCAGCTTTGAGCAGGTGCACAGTTGAGACCACTACAAGGTGCTATTGGTCAGCTGTGTTTTGGTGAAGACTCCAGGATGCCATTTACTCTGCCTTGAATATTAACCGGGTTTTCAACTGCTTCACTCCTAGATGCTCCAAACACTGAGCCGACATGAACAGAACCATTCTACGTTTTCTAAAATTGACTCAGATGAAACTGGCTCACTTACTGCTGAAATGAGTTTTTAATATAAACGTGAACAGACTACACAGATTTTTGACCCTAACTGCAATGGAAAATAACCTTTGAAGTTATTGGTAATAATAAAGTCAACCAGCCTATCAATTGGTGTATGTGGAATTCATTAACTCAATAAAAAGATAAAGGATGAAGGCTGCCCCTGCCTCATTCACTCTGGCTATTGTATATTGCAAAGTGTTGGATTTCCAAGTCTCAGCAACAATCTTAGACTTTGTTTGCTGCGAGGCCTGTAGTATTGTACTAGACACAACAGTCTCCAATGCATATATATAATGAGGTTTATTATTCTGTTCTCTTGTACCTGCTCTTTCAGGCGCTCCTGTTGCCCCATGATAGCGGTTGCATGGTGCGGATACTTCTGCTTCAGATGCTCTAGAAATGCCTCTCGTTTTCTTTCCATTTCTGACGGCTGCATCCCCAGCGCTTCTTTGGAACTGCGAGCGCCACCTACTGTGTGCCTTCGGGGGATGTTTCGAGCAACCTTTGTATTTGCAGTGCGATTATTCCCATTCGCAAGGTTTTCTTTTGCTTTGATGCGATCAGCATCCTCGGATGAAGTCACCCGCAAATTCGATTTCCCTTGATCTGGAAACATTAGGAGAAAACGCATTACAAAAAGGTTAAAATAATACCCAATTATGTTTCTTTCACCCCAAACACATTTTTAAATGCACTCAAGCCCCTCTATTTGATTTATCCAAACAGGACAAATTGAACTCTGTGCATTATACTCTAAGACTGCGGATCCATGACTGTCCAGCGCCTTGGGACATCTTCCTGAAGTGAAAGGAACTATATAAATGTAAGTTGTTGTTGTTGACCACCTGCCTCCTCCTAGATGTGCACGATCCACAACCAAGAAATGTTTTGGTCCATCTGAGCAAACCATTTGACTCTCACTCTGCATCTCCATTTGATGGGAGAGCTGAGAACTGAAATAACAGGCACTATTTGCATCTTTGCCCACCTGGTTCAATTGGTGACACTCTCACCTCAGAGTCAGAAGGTTGTGGGTTTCAGCCCCACTTCAAGACTTTGAACTCACATAGTCTAAGGTAAGCTGACACTCCAATACATATTCCAGAGGTACCATCCTTTGAATGAGACATTAAACCAAGGTCCTGCTGCTTGAACTGGTGGATGTTAAAGATCCATGGTGCTATTCAAAAAGAGAATGGAGCGTCCTCCTGGTATCCTAGCCAAAATTGCTCTAAATAAAATTAGTCTTTCACTTCAGGGTTGTTTGTGATTATTGCTGTGTGCAAATTAGCTGCCATGGTCACCCACCAAATACTCAGTCACTCTACTTTACTGTAAATCCTGTGGATTTTGATGACATGAAAGGTGCTATATCAGATGGAAGAATTATTATTATCACCCTAGCATGCCCTAGGCTAGCTCTATATTTTCATGAAACATAACAGATTTTTACTTCAAACAGCTTCAAATAACACCCCGTGAGTAAAGATAGCATAAGGCAATACAGCTTTACAGCTGTTTACATCCAGGACATGATAATGACTGCAGTGCCCCTGGGTTAGGAAAGTGGAGTCCTGTAGCTCAGTGGTTAGATCACTCGCTTTGCAAGCGAGAGACCTGAGTTCAATTCCAGGCAGGTCAGGGCGAAACCTTGGGCAAGTTTCCTTACTCCACACGCCTGATAATAATAATCCCTCCAAAACCAAAACCAATAATAAATTGGTCATTTTTAATCTACGACTGTTTGTGGGACATTGCTGTACGCAATTGGCTGCCACGTTCGTCCACAAATATACAGTCAATTCACTTTACAGTGTGTTCTGTGAAGCGCTTTGGGACGTCCTCCCGACGTGAAAAGCGTTATATCAAAATGCAAGGATTATTATTATTATAAAGGGAAATCAACCTGAGATCCCAATCTCAAATCACTGTCTAGAGACCCTTGTCAAAAGATGCAGATGAGGGCGAGGACCAGATCAGGCTTGGTAGTGATGCCCCTGTAGTCAGTCAAATAATCAATCAGAATTTGTGCTCAAGGCTCATACATTAGGGAGGTCATACTTTGTAAACCAAATCCAGGGACGTGTATATAAAAATGTTGAACTCACCATAATTCCTAATGCTGGCAGTACTGGAAAGTCTTGTGGATTAATGGCTGTATTCTCTGATGGGTGCATCTGTTTTAGAATGTTACTGTTCTTGCTCGGTTTCTTGCTGAACTCAAGTCAGTGGAAATTTGGCCCCAGGGACACAGTACCTCATCCGGGGACTGTCTCCAGAAATTTGAGACATTTGGTCACCCTATCTTACATGAATAATGAATAATGAGTACTTGTAAAAGGTAGCAGAGTCCAGCACTGCCTGTGTAATCTTACCCTAGAAGCAAAAATGAATTGGTGCCTTTGAGAGGAGGAAGAGGAGGAGGGGAAGAAAGCTGTAGTGGAGTCCTGTAGCTCAGTGGTTAGAGCACTCGCTTTGCAAGCGAGAGACCTGAGTTCAATTCCAGGCAGGGCGAAACCTTGGGCAAGTTTCCTTACTCCACACGCCTAATAATAATCCCTCCAAAACCAAAAACAATAATAAATTGGTCATTTTCAATCTTCGACTGTTTGTGGGCACTGCTGTATGCAATTGGCTGCCGCGTTCACCCACAAATATACAGTCAATTCACTTTACAGTGTGTTCTGTGAAGCGCTTTGGGACGTCCTCCCGACGTGAAAAGCGCTGTATCAAATGCAAGGATTATTATTATTATCATTATTAAAACTGGTGAAACTCAAATAACATTTACCATCAATGCAACTCATGCTTTGTGCAATGCTGTAGCCCTTACTCAATAGTCTCTTTAACAGTACAGTACTCTAAAAGACCACCTGCTAATAAGGGGCACCTAACAGATGTCTCAGCAGTGAATGTCTGACTTGAACCTGTAGTAATAATACAACAACTTGCACTTAAAAATAAACATATCAAGATGTATCCAGGTTCAATCCAGCATTCCGGTTCCATCCTTCGGATGAGATACTAACCCGATGTTCCATTTGTCATTTCAGGGGGATGGTAGAGAACCATAAAACCATGTTATTATTCAAATAGAATATGTTAGAATACATTAGAATATACAGCACAGAAACAGGCCATTCGGCCCAACTGGTCTATGCCGGTGTTTATGCTCCACACAAGCCTCCTCCTGCCCTTCCTCAACTAAGCCTTCAAGCATAACCTTCTATTCCTTTCTCCCTCATGTACCTTTCCCTTAAATACATCTAAGCTATTTGCCACAACAATTCCTTGTGGTAGCATGTTCCACATTCCCACTACTTACTGTGTGAAGAAATCTCTTCTAACTTCCCTATTTGATCTATTTGTGGCTATTTTATATTGATGGCCCCTGGTTTTGGTCTCCCCCATAAGTGGAAACATCTTCCCTATGTCTACTCTATCAAAACCTTTCATCATTTTAAAGACCTGTATCAGGTCACCCCTTACCCTCCTCTTTTCAAGAGAAGAGTCCAAGTATGTTCAGCCTTTCCTGATAGGTATAACCTCTCAGTTTTGGGATCATCCTTGTGAATCTCCTTTGCACCTTCTCCAGTGCCTCTACATCCCTTCTATAATGTGGGGACCAGAACTGCACACAGTATTCTAAGTGTGGTCTAACCAAAGGTTCTATAGCAGTTTACCATAACTTCCCTGCTTTTCATTTCTATCCCTCTAGAAATGAACCCCAATGCCTGGTTTGCCTTCTTTATGGTCTTATTAACCTGTGGTGCTACTTTTAGTGAATTGTGTATGTGTACCCCTAGGTCCCTTTGCTCCGCTATCCCATTTAGGTATTATTTTGCAGGATGTATGTGACTTCCTTATTCCTTCTACCAAAATGTTCCACCTCACACTTTTCTACATTGAAATGCATTTGCCATTTAAATGCCCACTCAGCAAGTTTATTAATGTCTTGCTGTAATTTGTTGCAGTCCTCCTCTATATTAACTACTACCCCCAATTTGGTGCCGTCTGAAAATTTTGAAATTGAGTTTCTCCTGGTGTCCTTTCCAATAATCTTCCAGTTAAATTGGTCACTCACCTCCTTCTTATTTGTGGAACATTACTAAGTGCAAATTGATCACCCATCAACAAATCCTCAAAGACTGCACTGTTTTGATGTGATAAGGCACCATGTCAAATGCAAAGATTATTATCATTGAATAGATCCTGCCATAATAAAATTGTTCAGATTGACAGCTCTGGTAATGAAAGCATATTAAATAAATACTGAATCAGAGAATTGCCATTGTCCTATCAAGAAAGGGCCTTTTTCAAAATAAATGAAAGTGTTCAAAGTTTTCCCAGAAAGGGTGGCTTCTCAAACATCAATTCATTCCTAGTTAATGATCCTAAAGTAAGGGTGAGAAGTGAGAATATTAAGGTATATGGAGAAAAACAATAAATAACAACCTTTGCATTTGACATAGCATCTTATACATCCAAAGGGTGTTTCAAAGTGCTTCACAGGAGTTATTGTAAAGTGTAGTGATTGTATTCTATAGGGTAAAGGCAGGAAAGTTGAATTGAACGATTTGACATAATCTAATAAAATGACAGAACAGGCTTTTGTTACTGGATATATTGAACGGAATCCTCGATGGAATCTTAATATTTCTAGTAGTCCACATCAACAACAACAACTTGCATTTATATGGTGTCCTTCATGCGAGGTAGTGTCCTGGCGTACTTGAGTTGGAAATATCATTTTGGGCACATTGCTGGATTACTGTAATGCTTTTATCTGGACTAATGGATCAACGCCTAATGTTATATTGGCCTAAATAGTAGAGCTTCCAAGATCAAGCAGATCAGTGATTGTTTACTGGAGGCGAGTTTGTATCTTTTGAAGAATTCCAGAGTAGTTTGAGCCGATTAGTGAACAGCAATACAGATACCTGCAGATAAGACATGGCAGGAGCAACTCCAACCAACCAACCAACCAAGATAATAATAATAATACTTGCATTTGACACAGTGTCTTGTTACAGCATCCAAGATGTCTCAAAGTACTTCACACGCGTTACTGTAAAGTGTCGTGACTGTGTATTTTGCAGGCAAAAGTGGCAGTGAATTTGAGTACAGCAATGTTCCATAAGAAGTCATAAAGTGGATGTTGAATTTTATGTGGAGGAGTGACATGTAACTCAGTTCCACATTTGGCTAAAACTCAAACACGAAGTGTTGATGAATGTGGGAACGTGTTGTGGGAGAGCTTTTGGTACTGCTTTTCTAACGTAACATTTGCTCAAACACAGCAGTTATTTGTGCCAACACATCCTGCAAACAGATGCATAGAGTTACCTAGAATGACAAGGCACAGAAACAGGCCACGAGCCCCACACGAGCCCTCACCCTTTCTTTTCCCCTGTATTCCTTCTTCTGCATGTATGCACCAAGTGAGTAACTGTTATTATAATAAACAGCCTTGAGGTGAATTTGGGGATCATTAATGTCTACCTGAACACGCAGATAGGACCCTCAGTTTAACATCTCACCCAAAAGATGGGATAAGATTCTCCCGTTACTGCATTGGAATGTCAGCATAAGCCTACGAGATGGAA